CCCCCCCAGTGATGATTTGACACGTTCGAGGGGTTTAGATCCACTTTCGGTAAAAATGTCACCTCAGTGATGATAATACGTGTTTAAACCCCTACAACGTGTAAAATTACTCTCCAAAATAGGACAGTGTGTTAATTGACGCATAGTTGACTGGTTCTGGGCTTTGGGGAGAAATAGGTTATATGTTTAGATTATAGGTCCAAAGATTATTTGTTTTAAAGAACCAGAGTTTGTATACAGCCACTAACTTTAACGCACTATTAGTGGGCTAACTCCTGGTGAGGCCACTCTAACGTTCTCTGTACTGGATATAAGAGAGTGTAAACTCCTTCGGTTACGCACTTTAATGCTCGGATACAGTCGAAAAATTTAGTCCATTAAAATATCAGCAACACATTTGTTGTCTAAAGCCCTCCGCTACTTCTCTGTATGTGCAACCAGGATAGCCCATCAGCTGGTAAGTACCTTTGACTGTTAGCCGAGAGAAAGAGATGGAAAACGGGCTCTGAGAGAGTCTTGGAGTTGTTCACTTATGGTCATATCAAATTCTCTATAACCCTGGTATCCTAAACGGTCTATAGATTTTTCTTAGCCATGTGGTCTTCATTTTTTCTTTTCTGTTTTCATATAAGTGACTGGTCTGGGAAGGACCCGTTCCATAACAAACGGCTTAATTACGATGTTGGTAACTGGTTAACATTTCACGTTATGCAAGTTTTATGTACAGTATTATATGTGTCAGCTTAAATTTTCATCGGGAAGAGCAACCTCTTATTTAATAGAAACACCAATGACTTGATCAGGCCCGTCTTTTGTACATATATGATTGAACATTAGAAAAATGAAAATTCTGAAGATATCTGATTTCATATGCAGAATTGTATGAAATTGGTTAAAGCCGAAAGGTTGATCAATTTAAAGACACGTTAATTTCTATGGCAACTGGCGAAACAAAATCATGACATGTTTGTATCGACCCACATGTAATCAATGCCGATGTTCATCTTCATAGACAGGTTTCATCAGACGAAATTGGAATCAAAGGAAATGAATCAGTGCACAGACACTATCATCCAGGTCCACTGTAAACACTACATTATATTAGTAATCATCGTGATCTACTTTGATCAATAACAGGAAATCATGTAAGCAAAAAAAAGGTTTAGCAAAAATGTTGAGAACACCATACATCTCCCGCCATCGCCGCACGTGGTTTCACCACGCCGGGTTTTGACCCAGCGTTTCCGTTGTCACATTCTGTGATAGACCAGAGACCTAAAGTTAATTTAGGTCTATGGATAGACATAAGAGTCAGATAAAACTCACATACAAAAATGCTACAACACACTTTAAACGTGTCTACATCTCTCCCGGTTTAGGATTCTCCACCATGTTATGTATTACTGCTTTGCTGTGTGAAAATGTGTAACAAAAGCGTCTGTCTTTTTCAATCTTTATTACAGAAGTTTTCGAATTCACCTCCTTTAGGAGAGTTCCTAAAAAACAGTTACAAACTTATCTCCCTTCGACCATACATTACATCATTGTCTCTCTCACCCATCACATACAATACATACAACAATACGATCGTCTCTTCAAACACGTTCATCTCAACAGCGAATCTCTTTTTTTATTCCCTATCCGGATACATTTTTTTTACGTTTCTCCAATGGTTATCCTCCGTGACATAAATGCCAATCTGCACTAGTTTATATTGTGCCCGGATAGGCCTATTTTACAACCGTTTGCATTCTATGCCGTGTACCTACATACATTTGTCCCGAGCTGCGCCATATTGGTTCGCTGCATTAAATAATCCTTTTCTGTTCAAAACATAATTATGCCATGAGAAAACATCCATAATCAACGTAATATTAAACCCGTAGCTAGCTGAGATTTCCATGCGGTTTGGGAGTGCTACATTGAATGTAAACTTAAATTATTAAGTTTAGAAAACACCAAACATCGAAAGATTGCACATCGTGGCTGTGTTTACATATCGGTAATGATTCTGGCTTCAGGAGAACACGAACTTTGTTTTTGTTCTTTAGACAATTTCAAAAAAAAATTCAGAAATTAATTATTGGATAATATTTCTAATTATTATTACAATACTTGCAAAGTTTCATAATTTAGCGATGAAAATACAGGTTTTAAGAATAAACAAGTTAAAATGGCGGCTTTGACGTATGAGGATTTTTTTCTTTCTTAACACATTAACACACGAACTCCTTTCTAATTCATTATTTAATTTCAAAAAGATATTCAGATATTTATTCAAACATAAAATTTCTGAACAGGTTTTTCAAATAATGTTTTTACAATACTTGCAAAATTTGATAATTGAGCTCTGAAAAAACGGCGGCTGTGATGTGCGAGGGAATTCCCTTCATGACACCGACACTCCTCTCTCGTTCGTTAATTTATTTCAAAAACGTATTCAGATGTTACATTATATTTCTAACAAGCTTCTTTATATGAGTCATATATTTAGGATATGTGATATGTTGACACGAACTAACGAACTCACTGACCAGACTATCGTCACCAGGATCGATAAGCTATCAAATCAAACAGTCAGGCCGCAACCCAAGTCTCGCAGCGTTTCTCAGGGATGCGTGTTTTTGCGAGATCTGCGTGAGTTGCCAATCTCTGTATTATACGTCTCTGATATAACTTACCTCGGGAGGTGAAGAATTTAGTCTCACACCCCGTCACTTTTTGTAATTCAACTTTTGCTCACCATGTCAGGAACATTGAATGCAACCCTGGACCTAGTGAGTCTGAATCTGATTTATCCACGGTTTCCACGTGTTCGTCTAATTTTACTACTTTATTTGATGATGTCAAGTATACTTTTGTTCATCTCAATGTACAAAGTATGAAACAAAAAGTTGATCATCTTATTCAGCGAACTAAATAATATAAATATTCTTTCATTCACCGAAACGTGGCTAAATCCTGATGATGTCCATTCAGATATAGACTTACATGGTTTTACTTCACCTTACTGTTATTGTAGACCTAATAGACAGGGAGGAGGAGTGTCTGTATAATATTTCACTACATCCTACAAATATGTTCCGGTACTGGTACTAAGATACATCTGAAAACGATAGGAATACATTTTATTCACTTAATGACTTAATATACATCTCTGCTGAGCAATACATTTATTGAATTGAATTGAATAAATCCCTTTTGTGTTTTGACTCAAGGATTTCCGAGAAGTTATAGTTCAAAAAAAGCCTTTTCACAAGAAATGCGATTGTGAAACTTTGGTCATCTGACAGCTTTGCACACGACCCATAAACCAGTCGGAACCATTTGTCTGTTTCTATTCAATCTACGATGTTGGGCAACGTAACTCGAATGGACTTTCGAAGAGTCGTGTGCAAATCTCTCGACAAATATTGTGAAATAAAGCCTTGGTTCCGGTACCAGGAAGTTACTATTAAATAACGCAGATAGCTGGATTAAGTGTCTTTGAAACTTAAAGACAGGCGTATATCAGGTGAGTTATCCAAGGTGATGTCTTCGACAAATATATTGATAATTTTGTTTCGATATTTCTATAAAAAAACATACTTAAACTGGACACGCCCGGGTTTTTCGTGACTTCCGGTTAAATCGACAGGTGACTGAATTAGGCCTAGTTAACCTAATGCCTACCTGAACATCAATCAGATCTTTATGACCATGTCAATAACCAGACCACATAAAAAAAGTTGAAGTGGCTTAAACTATGTCACTGTCAAATTATTGTTGTAAAGTTGACATCGAACAAAAAGTTATTTTAAATATTTTGAAAATATGTTTAGTACCATAGGGGGATAGGTATTTCATGCGGGGTTAAAATAATTTTCTGTACATATCTGTATATTTAATTGCGAAAACAAACTTAGACGCTCACAAAACATCATTTTCAGCAAATATATATGTTATGATCCATTAGCATGGACCCCAGGGCCTGAGTAATTGTTTCACGAGTGCATTTGCCTCTTCATGTTTTGAAAATGTTTATATCATTATAGGAATGGAAGTTGAGGTCCTCAACTATTTTCAGTTTTAAAAACTTTAATCAGTGCAGGGAGGACCAATAATAGCATGAGAGCATTCTTTTCTTTATGAAAATGCAGCAATTGGATACAATGTTTCAGGGGTTTTCACTAAAACCCTACATTTAACTCTTCATACCTGAAATTGTTTATGGTTTAATTTTAGGTTGGGGATCTTGATTGCTTATAATAATAATTAATAATTCGAGGTTCTTATATACCACTTTATCACAACCTAGTTCGTGGGTTGTCTCAAATTGGTTCACAAATTATTATCCTTGGTTATGGGGCCTTTGCAACCAGCCACTATCTTTCTCAACTCCCTGTGGAGCAAACAGCCGGTGCTGCCATTTCAGCGCTCACAGCTAGCATTCGACAGTTCTATCACTGTCCAACCACGTACTGATATACAGCTGAGTAGACTGGAACAAGCGAAGTAAAATATCCTGCTCAAAGATACAACACAGTGCTGTGTCGTCACTCGAACCCGCAACCCTTTGGTCACGAACCCTGCATCCTACCACTAGACTACCATGCCTCCTATGTGTTTTGTTTTAAAGTGAAATGGCTTAATTTCTCCCAACCTTGGAGTTGGAACATCCTCCATATGCAGGGGTTACGCTGACTTTCGCTCTCTGCACCCCTGGAATATGTCAGCAAAATTGAAGGCCCAGTGTGCAGCACTTTGTAGTCGAGAAGAGAAAACTAGTTTTAGTTTTTGATGTACATCAAAAGAATTTTCAGGTGGTGTAACGGTTTTACCGGTAAAACCTACTGGCTTTGAAGTCGGGCGTTGCTCTTTTGTAATCTTTAACCCTTTAACCCCTAGGTAACTTTAGTAGACTCTCTACCATACATTGATCTGGATGAATCCATTATGGTCTACAGTGGTGAAAGAGTTAAAGGACAGGTATCAGCCTAGTGATTGGTCATTTTTTTTTTACCAGACACCAATCAAATAGCTAGCCGCGTGCCTTCAATTTTGCTATGATATATTCCAGGGGTGTAGAGAGCGAAAGTGAGTGTAACCCCTGGATATCGAGGATGGAGTGGGAATGGACCCCAGAGAAAATGCTGGTAGAATGAATGTATACAAAATATATATTATGATGTTGAGTGAGGGAAGAAATGGTATAGGAGGTAAATCATGAATGTTTCCAAGTAATAAACCAGTTTCTTAGGCCCTGCCCCTCTACCCCAAGGAAAGGGACACCCCTCAAACTTTATTAATGCAATCAACTAGCTTAGTATCAGTTTTGCTAAAATTGGTGCAGATGGATCATAAAGCTAATTTTTGCTCTGATAGGGCAAATATCTTTCTTCATTCAGGGAAACAAAAAAACAACTATTGTGTTTGGGGAGAGAGGGGAAATCAGCTTGGTGATTCTTTCTGGAAAACACTCAGCAGCCAGGAATGGGAGGCGTGGAGAGAATTGGCTGTCTCACCAGTACATGTATATGTCTATCCTTCTGTATTAATTCATTCACCCCTGAAATTTCATAATGAACTACTCCAACCTTTGAATTGGAAGAGTTCGAATGCGTCTTCAGGGGTGAATGAGTTAAACCATTTTTCAGGACAGTGTCAGGTTCTGTCTGTTTCCTTTAAAGATAAAGTAAGGTTTACAATCGTTAAAAGTAGTTGTGTATGTAATTACATTTAGTTAAGAATTCTTTCAGAGTTGTTGCTGTTTTGTGAATTTGGAGTATTGAAAGTGCGTTGTGACAGCTAGTTCAGTTTCTATCCTTTGAAAAACCCCATCATATGTAATTATTTTCAGTTGTTTGTCTCCATGCTTAAAGTATTGTGTGGTACTCTTTTATAATTTTAACAGAGGGTAGGTCTGCCAGCTTCAGCAAGCAACTCACCCTCCTAAACTGTAAATGAGTGTAAAAATGTCTGGAAAGAAAGTTTTCAACTAAAACTATTGGAGCCTATGCTAGCTTGCTTGAACTGTATATTTATCTAGGCACCATATATTATGTTGTCTAATAATAGCCAAGTTTGCCAACTTTACTCTGTTGAGAACAAACTTGTCTTTTTTGAATGTATAAAAAATGCCATTCATTTATTACAAATCATGTGTTACGACCAAAAAACTAAAATGATTTCTTCGTTGTAGATTAAAGTCCAGACATGTCTGCTCCACCACCACCATACCCCGGGACAAAGGGACAGGGTAAATTACACTACAAAATTGTCATACAACTCTGAGCTGTTAAAATTAGTTGGTTCACGGTCTGTGAGCAATATGTCTACCGTAAAAACCCATGTAATTTGCGCACTTTTTTTCCAGAAATTTAGTACCAAAAGTGGGGGATGCGTAAAATACACAGGTATAGAAAATTTCAAGTTTTTTTCAGAAATTTTTTTCGACGATTCTGGGAGATCACCATTTTGGATTATTTCCCTTGGTACACGTAACTCTAATCAAGACAAATGACGGTCAACAAATATATTTATGTCAAACATTAATAAAAGATACATAATGTGTTGTTATGTGAGTTTATGTGGAAAATATTATTAAAAAGGTAACCGTTAACAAAAAAGGTGTAGCCAAATTCCTATGCCAGAGAATCGCCGATCAACTTACGACATTACGTTTCGACATCTCGGTGCGTTTCCCCATACTATTACGAAAATGTAGTTGTTCAATTTAAGCTCCGTTCCATGTAAGTTCTGTAAGTTTTTTTCAAATCGCCTATGCGTAAACGTATAGCATGTTTTTTTTCCGGCTCACTTTCATGTTGATCTCGCGTCTAACATTACGTAACACGTGATTGATAATAACCTCGTGAATTATTTCAATATTTATTAAATGAAGCATCGTAAAAAAGGTCTGCGTTAATTATTTTTTTCCTTGGAGTAGATTTGAAGAGGATGTATTGATTGTCCACGCTTCTAGTATAAACAATTTTTTTTATAATCCCTTATCAGTCAAATCAGTCTGTTATGACAATGCAGTAGGGCTTCGTAATTCACGCCACGTGTTGGTGAGTGAAAAAACAACAACACGGTCCGTCGATCGCGACTGCAAATCATTTCAATTAGTAGAGCTATTGTTAACGGGTAATCACAGAGATAGTGTTAGCTAATTACTGCATTGTAATTTGTAAAAAATATCGCCAAACCACGGACTTAGATAATCTAATTCCGTGGCCAAACTGAACTGTGACATGACCTGGTTTGAAGTGACGTAACCCAAGCCGCCATGATGAGTGCTTCTCACTGATCGTCATTATGATCAATAAAAGGTATATAATTATGTCTTTCACCAGGAGATATGCACCAGCGGTTACTAAACATCGAATTACTTATAAATTGATATGTTTTTGTAAGCAAGTAAATGTTTTATGTAAAATATTGCTCAAATGATTCGATTTATGCCGATATGCGCACATGTGTGTGTCATGTGTGATCAGATAATTTAAGCATGAACATCGTTTTTTTTCCAGATTTTTTGGGTGCGCAAAATATTCGAGTAGAAGGTTTTTTCACGATTTTCAGCCTCAAAAAGTACCTGCGTAAATTACACAGGTGCGCAAATTACATGGGTTTTTACGGTATGTACAATATCAGTGTCTGGTATGAAGAAGTTGATCAGTATGATTTTAACATGGTAAAACACGATCATTATCGTAAGTGCAAAACAATTTATGATAGTAAATAATGTTTGTGTTTACAGAATCAGGTTATCCTGCTCAACCACCACCACCACAAGGTATGTATTACGTGTTATCAACACTTATCATGTCTAAACCCGAAAAATGGTTCTTGGTAAGGAGTCAATAAAGACAAAAATGGTTCTTGGTAAGGAGTCAATAAAGACAAAAATGGTTTGTTCAGGGGAACCCACTTATTAAGATATCGGTTATTAAGATATATTGCTTATTATTATATTTTTCCCATGTACCAATCTTTTCCTTCTTTAACTAAGCAAACAAAATTAGTTTATTATGATATGGTCAAAGGTGGGATTTATAATGTTTTTTTTTTTTGCCGTGAATGGATTTTATAAGATAAAAACTCGGGTAAGTTGTCTGTGTGAAACTCCTGGACAATTGCGTAATAGGTCCAGCTAACTGTACATCGCCCGAGGTGATAACCTGTCCACTCCCGGTAAATTTTTCAAACCTCGCTTCACCCGAGTCAGCGTAAAACAATAGAACGACCATCGCTTACTGGTCATACATTTTAGTCTTAACAAAACATGTGGTGGAGATAATAGCTGTATAATTGCTGTAGGACTGTGTATCAAATTGAAATGATTAGGCCTACCGACATTTTTCAAACACGAATTCCGATAAGAAAAAGAGAATGCCTTTCACAATATTATTCACGGTTACCTTGACACACCATGTGAGAAAATCATGCCGATTTCAATGAAAATATTACTCCAGAAGAGAGACGTGTGTTATAAATCATTTGAGCAATAGTTTCTCTATTGCATTAGAAGTTGATTTCCCTGTGTCTTCGTTGAAAAGGTGTCAAAATCGGGACATACCACCCTGACAGCATGGTGGTGGAAATCGATCCAAAGTTAACGTTATTGTCGTAAACAACTGACGACGGCTGCTTTATTTACAATTTACACCATTTTCGTTACAATACAATATGTGATTATTGTTAAAAAGGGAATATTTTGTGTTTTTAATTCTTAATGCTTCATTGAAAGTTGATTTCACCGCACGACTTGCGAGGCATGTGATTGTCACATGATCATAATTGACATAGTGCGGCAAAATATTTTTACGCTTATGGGACAAAATGTAACACAACTTAGGTAAATCATGACTATTTATATCACTTTTTTATATCGTTAGCTAAGATGTAGTATAAAGATAGTTCTTAGGAATATGCTCGAAGTTATTTGAAAGTGAAAGTAGAATTTACATACTGATCATTATGACGGTAAAACGAAATCTCAACAAATATTTCAAACACGCTGATATAAATAACATTGAACAAATTCTTTCAATTATTACTTTATCAGTTTGTTTTTATATTTTTCCATGTTTCCACATCAATCTATGTCTGATTATAGGACATCTCACTTCCGGTTCTGACAACATAAAAAGTAAAAAAAAAACCCAATTGAAAACAGCTTGATCGGTTATTATGATATATCAGTTATTATGATATTTTTGTCTCTGGTAAATAAAATATCATAATAAGCGGGTTCCACTGTATTACCAATTGCCTTGGTGTAATAACTGTACCTATCTATAAAGTCTGCCTCTCTGGAATTTAGAAATACAAGACTTTAATTTCCTCCTTAGGTTTTCATAGACACTAGACAGACAGGGTTGGCTGCCTGTAGATTTTATAATAAAGGATGATTCAAATTAAAAACAGGTTGATGTGCACATTTATATAATAAAACTTAGCTAGACATGTCCTTTATTGTATACATGTATTCCCAAATTCTTTTATTTGATCATGATATGAGATTTTCAGAGTGTGGGAGGCCATATTTATTAATCTGTATACCAGTGAACATGTAAGCTTTTTATTGATACAGGATACGCTCAGCCATATGGAGCACCTCCACAAGGTAAGATACTACATTTTTGACAGTCTTATAGCTGAATGTTAACACAAGCAATGTGAACAAGAGATTTCTCTCTATAACTACTCAAATTTTCAATTTCAATCTTCCAATATATTTGAACTTGACTTTCCTAATGCTTGCTTCAACAATAGAATTAATTATGCTTTTCATAGAAATTACCATTAATATTTTTACATGTGTTATATATAGTGCTGAAATATTTCACAATCATTGTTTAAGCAAACATAGTCATATATCCAGGCTTTTACATTATGATGTCTTTCTATGCGTGTCATCATAACACACTGATCTTTAAATTTATCTGGGCGAGCTAGCCATGTATGAAAAGATATATATCGAATATATATAGCAGTGCCTATATGTTTAAGCTTTTTCAATAACCCAACATTGTGTTGACTATGTAAATGCATCAAGGTACATTACTTGTACATGTCTATATGTGGGTGTAAGTTAGCCATTTGACATTAAAGCTTGGGTTGTTTAAGTAGGTAATTACACATGGGTACAGTACTTGTGTACGTTTATTGTACATCTACTTGTATTATATTTTTGATAAACTCACATAAATGTGTTGGAGTACATTACAAAATGTTAACTTGTGTCAAAGTTGAAGAAAATTCGTGACTTGTAAACTAAAAATAGAATAAGTTGAATTTGGCCTGTACCCAATACACCTGCCAACATGTAAGTCGCATGGCTGTTTTGTCAGGTAGATATTGCCTTACTTGTAGTGGGTCGTTGACTTTGTTTTCACATAAGTGATCTAGTCTTTTTGGCAGAGGTTCATTATTTGATGGTTTACCTACATTGTCCCTTACCAAGTATGGATAAAAAGATGTGTTTGTACTTCATTAATGATACTGTGAGTCAACTCATTTCAAAACTACAATTTGATGATATACATGTGTCAGCCAGTGGATTGGGTGAAAAAAAGTTTACAATGGATATCTGAAGATGGGTCACCTAAAGCATTCATTTTGGAGGGAGACAAAAAACAGATGTCACTCATTTGAAAAGTCAGCAGACAAGTACGGTACCCTGGTACCATTACAAATAAATCATTTGGATGGAAAAAGAACATTTTATAAACTAAAAAAAGTTAGGTATTGAGAATATTTCTTTGTATTCTTTTACTTGTCCCTACCCAGTGGTATGGATAGTAAATTTGTATACACGTTTCTTTGAATAATTCATATACATTTCTATATACATATATAGCTTGCCCTGCCCAATCATATGGACAGAAATTATATTCTCTTTGAATATTTCTTTACATGTGTAGGTTACCCTGCCCAACCATACGGACAACCAGGTAAGATTTCCTGTAATTGATTCCATGTCTAGTGAGATTTCCTGTAATTGATTCCATGTCGAGTGAGATTTCCTGTAATTAATTCCATGTCTAGTGAGATTTCCTGTAATTGATTCCATGTCTAGTGAGATTTCCTGTAATTGATTCCTCGTCTAGTGAGATTTCCTGTAATTGATTCCTTGTCTAGTGAGATTTCCTTCAGCTGCATGATAATGTAAACTATCTTCCTCATCCAAAAATGTACATGGTAATAAATCTACCTTTTGCTGGCCCTAATCACCTCTTTTGTGTTGATGGGTCGTTAAGAATCCAAAAACATAACATAGCAATTTTTGTTTGTGATGTTGGTTTATTATCAAGATGACTCAAATGTGATGTGTTATATTATTTGTGATTAACAGCATATATCTGATTACACTCAAAATAAAACAAGAAGTTAATGACTGAATCATAGTTGATATATAGCAATTGATGATTTACAGCAATTGATTAAATTTTCCCCAAGTCCTGAAGAAATGCCAACAATTACCATTTCTTTTTTGCCTAAAGCATGCCCATCCCAAACTTTGAGTCAGGTGTCCCCCCCCCCCCCCAAACACACACACACACACACACAGTCCTTTCTCATTCTTATTGCTGGATAATAACAATAAATTAACAACTAACAAATTTGTAAAATTGTAAAATAACTATCGTTAACATGTGTTCTTTGATCACCTCATACAAGTACAATTTGAATGAACAAACGTTACATTGTATATTAATTTAGTGCATTATGTTCTACTAACAGCTGATATGAAATGAAAACTCTCCGGACTGTTAAAATCTATTATGTTCCCTTAAAAATAATTGAAATAATTTACCAATCACAAACGAAAAATATTATTTCACTATTACAGTAAATGTTACTGATTTTGACAATTTTTCATTATTTTAAGGACAACCATATGGCCAGCCAGGTAACAACATATTGCATGTTCCTCCTTGATTTTGTGTACCCCATAAACTCATTAATAAGGCCAGTGTGTGAATAAAATATGTGATTGCCTATACCTCTATAATTCAAACTTTGGGTAGGTCTATTTTGGAATTAATAAAAAATATATTTTTTCTGGGTTGGTTGGGTTAAGCCAAACAATATTTTTAGACCTAATTGTAAGCATTGAATGTAATGGGGGAAAAAATGTGTTCTTTGGAACTGTACACCCTTATGTTGATATGGATGTACAGTAGAACCTTGTTATAAAAAAAATGTGAAGAAAATGTATTTATTTTTTAACAGCATGTTGACTAAAAATGATTTTAAATCACAGAAACACCAAGTTCTACCTTGTGTTTGTGATCTTGCGTGTGTGTTGTGTGTTACAGTTAGTGTATTTTAACAAAGTAATTGTGATACTAACAATCCTTTATCAACTTAAGAATTATTCTACGTCCCTAAACCGCTGTCAGTACAGTGAAGTGGTCCTGAGTGTTGGCTGGTTGGTGTAATCAACCTTAACCTATGTCTCTTTTCATATATTATATAAGTATCTTATACACATACGTCATCTCTACTGTTATTGAACAGGTAATTGGTTTACATTATGTGCTGTACTGAGGCACCAGGAAGTACTCCAAATAAACTGTAAAGGGGTGACCCGTTTTCTCATCCAACCCGAGAGCGGTATAAGTTCAATTCAAATATCATATAACTTATTTTTAATTTCAAGTGTGAATGTCATAATAAGGTAATGACAGGATTTATATTGTCTGTTAAATGATCTACCAACATGATGTTATAATCTCTCAGACTCTAGCTCAGAGAAATAGTACCAGGTGAATATTGATTGATGAAACCATGAAAAATATGTTATTCAAGTTTAAAGCCTTGGGTATTCTCCTAATCTTCCACTTACTTTTTATCAACTGAACTTTACTCTTGATCTACCAGTGCCAACTTTCTGTTTGTATTTGTCATAGCTGTTTTGTTTTTAGGTCACCTGAGCTTTAGCTCAAGTGACCTATTGCTATCCGTTTTCGTCCGTCGTCGTCCGTCGTCCGTCGTCGTCCGTCGTCGTCC